TTACTTTGTTTGATAGAAAATGACACTCTGAATAAAATTACATATCATATTATACCAACTTTTGACATTTTTGTTTAAAAAAAATTGTATTTTAAATTTCAATCTAGAGTGCCATGGCTGTATTAAAAACACTAATTTTTAATCAAGGAGCCTAAGAAAAATAGATTTCATCGTCTAATATTTTTCGTATCTTGTCCTAGCCGGTTAACATTTGCCCAAATCGTATTTTTAATCATATAACACAATTTTTTCAAATAGAACGAGGGTGGCTCATTAGCATATTTGTAAAAAGCATTTTTTACGAATAATTTGTTACCACACACTTGGTATTTCGAGCCAAATTGTCGTTATGAACCGCATGTTACAATTTCAAATAAACCATATGAGAAAATGTCAAAAGTTGACATGTGTTATGTCATTCTATTCAGAGTGTCATTTTCTATCGAATAAAGTAAAAAAACCGAGGGTCGTGCCATTTAAAAATCAAAAGTTGTAGTCATTTCCGGTGAAACAGGAAGTGACAAAAAAGTATTGAATATGTCAATCAATCCTAATTTATGTCATAAACTAACATACCAAATACCTGGAATGGGAATCTTGCAACGGTCTAAGACACTCGAAGAAGTTTCTGAGGGCTTACGATCAAGAAAAATTACAGATTTTCCTGGGTTTAAGTAAGAACAATCTTCAATTGTCATAACGATCAATTGTCACGGGTTTTTAACAGGACACGGTCTCCTCAATGAACACCTCAGTAGATTGAAACTAAGAAGAAACGGCGAATGCAGATTCTGTGGGGAAAATGGGGAAACACCAGTACACCTCATCACTGAGTGCGCCGAGACGACAACCATTCGTGCCATGAACTTTGGTACGACTGATATTGGAGATGGAGAACTACCCTCTATAAAACCGTCCCAGATACTGGCTTTTGTCAAAGCCCTGGAACTGTATGATGAGTTATAACTCAAGAAAGGGGGACACAATAGATCTGTAAGGTCGCAGTGATTAACCCCCTCCCACTCATTCTAACATACCAAATCTCGTTTTTTTATCTGAAAAAATAAAAAAGTTATAGGGGGTGAGCCACTTTTGAGACGCACCCTGTATGTAGCTGAATTAATTTTTATTAAGTATTTCTTTAGATTAAATTTCTCATTCTGATAGTCCATCCCGGGATTACAAAACTGGATCCCGATCCCGAAAATTGGAAACCATATGCATATATAATGTTTACCTTACATTTAGTGGGTAGGTTAGGTACCGACTTTCTAAAATTTTGAAATTATCGTCATCCATTTCTCGAAGCAATTGTGACACAACAGTTTTTACACCTTGTAACTTCGTTGTGAATAAAGTAAGAATTTTAATTCAAGGATCAAGAGGACTATACTATATAACTAAAAATTATACCTTACAGTTTATAAATCATCAAATTTCTAAGGTACTTTTAGAAGTCTCACAATCTTCAAATTTCGAAATTTAGTTACCGTTTAGTCTACAAAGAAAGGAAAATATGAAAAATCTTAAAAATTTTATTCATTAAATGAAAACTATCGAATTAAAATTCAAGTATCTAGCCGCTATTCCTATAAGTGATTATCCAGTTGACACGAAGTTAAACGAATGAGTTTTAACTGCTCTAGTTTCAATTTTTTTTAGTGAATATTTGTTTTCTTTTAATTTTGACTGCTTTGAATGTTTCGATTTTAAAATTGAATGTCTCATTCTCTTTGCTGAAAAATATCGTATTTTAAATATCAAGCTAGAATGGACTTTGTTAAAAACACTAATTTTTAATCAAGATGCCTTAGAAAATTGAGTTGATTTGAATGTTTTTCGTGTCTTGTTCTGGCCGGTTAAAATATGCCCAAATCGTGATTTTAGTCATAACTCAATTTTTTCAAATGAAACGAGGGTAGCTCATTAGCATATTTGGAAAAAGCATTTTTTTACGAATAATTTGGTACCCCACACTTGGTATTTTGAGTCAAATTGTTACATTTATAGTCGTGACACTCTAAATTGAAAGTTAAAATGCTATTTTTTTAATTGTAAATGTCAAAAGTTGACAGATGTCATTCTATTCAGAATGTCACTATCAAATAAAGTAAAAAAATACTGATAGTACATATAATTTAAAAATCAAAAGTTGTAGTCATTTCCAGTGAAACAGGAAGTAATCGAATTCAACTTTTTGTCATATACTAACAAACCAATTTTTTTTTATCTGAAAAAAATAAAAAAGTTTAGTAGTGAGCCACTTTTTAGAAATCAGTTGGTATTTCCTCTAGCTTATATCGAACGAAATATCATTCAATACTGACGATATTTCCTGTTAAACATCGCGAACTTTTTGAACAGAACCCGTATAGTTAAGTTACTCTTCGATCTCAAATATTTGCGTAAGGCCGTATACACGGAGAAAGACATTCCTCGCATTCTTCGACTTATCTTTGAACAAGGGACAAGTTCTCGACCAGTAATACGAGTCTATATGTGCATGTGTACTAGTTCTGCGATTATGCAACATTGTAAGGTCGAGACATACACACACATGTACACGGACGACCAGTTCTGGTCAAGCATTCTTCACGTGCTTATTGAAATTTCTCGTTAGTTTTAATCAGCAGGAAATGGGGAATGTTTTAAATATACGTTTTATTATTTATTTACTTTATTCTGTTTTTATTTAGTATTTGTGTTCTGAATATCTTGTATAGTTATTGAAGGAATTTATTATTTTAGAGTTTTTTTAGAAAAACATTAGCAATTTGCTAAAAATTTTTGATCGATAATTTATTTTAATAACAGTACCGAATATCAATCATTAATACCGTATGATCGAATAAAAACGGCGTCAGCGATGGCTATGAAATGACGATCGATGACATTTCCCATATAATTTTACATATAAAATAAGAGCGATCTTCATTTCATAGCCATCGCTGACGCCGTTTTTATTCGATCATACGGTACTAAAATTGTCTAACACAGTATTGCTAACTATTTCAATTGTTCTTCATCGCGCCGGGGGTTAAAACAAGTTAATGTCAGAATTAAACAATCAGACCATTATGACAGATTTATAGCTGTTAACATTATTAACACATTCTCATTTTTACTATTAAAAAATTAACATAATGTTATAGAGATGTGAAAAGTACTGGCAAAGTTTAGAGAATATTTTTATTCTGTAAACTTTGGTACTGGGCTCTTATCAAAAAACTAATATCTAAAATCTGAGGACTAATTTCTTTCCCCAAAATTGATCTCTATAGGCTACATTCTCCAGTCCTATCCTTTTTAAAAAGCTTAACAACTTGGTGACCGAACTCTCCATGTAGCTCTTGTCAATGGTCTATAACACAAACTACAAACATCCTCACATTTGCCAGTGTTGTTGCCCAGCTACAAAAAAAATTAAAATTTCGTTTTTTTTTTCTATCCTTCGTTCTTCGTAACTCTGTCTGATATCAATAATATCAACATCTCCGTGCCATGGTCAACTACTTACTCCATCATTTTAGAGACTGTTTGGTTTGGTAAAAAACTGTACTTACCCAAATTAATTAAAGTTCCACTAATTATACTTAAATTCCTTTTGTTTTTAGCTGACATCAATGTCATTTAAAGAACTAAAAGCCAGAGAAACCAAGACTCCCTATTATCTATATTTTAATTCTCCGATATGATTAACCTCTTAAAATTTCATAAACATTTAATTTTCATTATCGGGACAAACATTAATGAATTAATCATGCGCCTTCTTATTCATTCTTAATAAACAACAAACAATGCGGATATTTCTTTTATGAGAGTTCAAATCTCAATCTCCAGTGTGTGTGTAATGGCAATCACTTGCTTCCATTCAGAAATTATATAGACTTTTGTTGGTTCTGGGAATCACTAGCTAGCAAATCAATAAATGCACCAGGATAAAACTGAAATAGATTTAGTCAGAAACGATACATTAACAAGATTAGTGACCAGCTCATAGTTATTTAAGTAAGTAAACAGCTACCAATTTTAACTAAAGTTTTTATTTTGTATTTATTGAAGAATATCTTCATATATTACATTTATTTTATATCTTCATTTATTTAATCTATATTTAGAAGATGATTGAGTTTAAACATATTCTTCTCTAATGATTTGCATAAAAATTGTCTATTGTTTTACGAAGCAATTGTACAATGTAATAAATAAAACATATAGTGGATGCAGTGGTCCTAAAACAATTTTTGTCAATTGTGAAACAATTTAAATCTATATGTATATGTCGCACCTCAATGTAATTGTCCGTTTCATGAAATGGATATCCACTTTGTGAACTGGTTAGGTTAGGTTCGCGAACTGGTTAGGTTTCAGTTCGCGAAGTGGATATCCATTTCATGAAACGGACAATTACACTAAGTGGGTGCGACATATATACTACATTATAAATAAAACAAGAATGGCTGGACCGCTTTTACTCTGATCTCTGATTCTTATAACTCTCTTATTCTTAATAACTATTCAAATATCGAAAAAAATTCACGAATAGAAAAATATACAGAAAATTAATTTTTAAACAAATTAAGTTTGGAACTTGCCCTCTTCTGCTATTAACAGCTCTCACCTCAAGCAGGCTTATTTCTTATTTGTAATAATTGATGTCCACCGTAAATCGGTAATATGCTGGAAATTATAGAATACAAATTGAACGGAAAATAGTGGAAGAATAGCATATTCAAATCTATAGAGATATTAAAATATGTAGAAAATACTTGAATAGAAATGTAAAGAAAAACATAGAAAACAAGTGACAATAACTGTCAATTCGATTGGTCTTAGTAATTTCTAAGATCATTTGGCCAATCAAATTCGCACCACCAAGATCCTCTCATCTGGCGTTTTGATAAAATAGTTTAATATCTAGATCTAGATTTATTTTTATCAGATTATATTTATTTTATACGTTATAGGCATTTGACTAAATATAGTCTGTTTTGTTTCAGATAATTCTCCTTCTAGCGTACGAATCCAGGGATGCCATAGATTCGCATTTTTATCAATCATCTAGAGACCCATTGATTAACGTAAGTATGTTTATCATTATTTTATGAATGACTCACGCTAAATGTAATTAGTTCATCTATTTGTTACTACTAATAATAAATAAAGACAATATCAAAAATTCCATTGCTCACAATAATAGATATTAATAACAACTGAATATAGAAAATGGATAAATAAATTCTGACATAGGTTATTAAAAAGGGATTTTAGCTTTAAAAATTTGATTTTATAAAAAATAATAAGGCAGTTTAACTACATTTTCCTACCAAGTATATATGTTTTTGTATTTTTTAACGACATTGACCTGCACAAACCAAACGGACACATAGTTTCATTGTAGTGGGCCGTTTTTGATGATTTGTTGATGTGTAGCTAAATTACTTGATTTTTAGCTTCTTATATAAAAAATGTAATTATTCATCTGTTTGTTATACCAGGAAAAATAGTTGCTAAGAGCAACCGCAAACAAGAACAGAGAGAATTTTCTCTTGTCAGAGACAGAATCTTCAAAAATTATAAAATCTTTTAAAATCTAAACCGCCCTCGTTGAAAAAATACCCGAAAAGTGTTTAAAGCGTCCATTTTCAAAATAATTATTGCTATCTTGTGAGTTTAATTTAAATTTTATTTACGCAAACCCGGGATAATTTTGAAAAAGTGGTATTAAAAAACCTAAAAAGCTGTGTGAACTGTGAACTGCAAAAACCATCGTGGCATAACGTCAGTTTCCAATGTTCCAAGCATACATGTCCTTATATAAAATAAAATTTCTTATATGCAACAAACGGTATTTTATTTATAAAATTTAAAGAAAATAATAATAAATTTGAATAAACAATATTTGGCGACATAATTCCGGAAAAAGCCGAGCCGTTCCGAAATTATCAAAAGCTTTGGATCGCGACCGTTGTAAGAACAGCGCCAAATAATATTTACATTATCCTTATAGGCACTTTCCAATCTAAACTTGTTTCATTTATCTTTGTTTTAAAGTCACTGTCATTAAAAATGTATAGATACTCTATTATCGTTTATAGGCAGGTCATAATTTAAATATTAAAGAGAATTAAAAAAATGTTCATGAAAAGTCTACAATTTGATATCACACAATGTTTTCAATTGCAGTTGCTTATTCTACAGAGTATTAAAAAAAACAATAAAAAATCCTTAGTTCCTTTACAGTCCTGCATATCGTCGGCTTTATGACGAAAAGGCGTATCTAGATTTTTGCTACTTTTCAGGAGAGCAATTTAAAGAAAATCACTTACTTTATTTGGCCAATAAATGTAAAGTCTTTAATTTTTTAATAGTGTTTTTGTATTAACACTTAAACGGAGACATTGAGGAAATGCTCTGAAGAAAAATTGAGCGTAAATTCTAATAAAGTATTTATTTTTAGTTGTTTAATAGAGATAGGCCTTTTTGTTATGATAATAATAAATTTATTTCCGAACGAATAGTATACATACGCCCATGTAAAATAAATTTAAAAATGACGGTAAAGTGTTCTTAATAAGAAAAAAAAATAATACAATATTCACATTATGGAATACTTACAAGAAAATATAACACATACATACAAGAAAAAATCTGGAAATCACCAAAAAATCAGAAACAAATATTTTTAAATACTTTTATTCGCCTTGGATTAGATCAACTGAAAACAAAGACAATTTTCATTCCAGAAGCAAAGACAATAATCAATTAAAATACTCTTACCTATCTTATTTTAATAATATTGTTTTTTATACAAAAATGCATTTTTTAACTAATATATTTTTAGTAATTATTTACTTAATTGAGGGCATTTAAACTCACGGTCCATTTAATAAAACCAAACTAAACAAAAACAAAACATGTTTCTTCATTCGTTTTTTTATACAAATAACTGTGGAGTAACAATTTCTATTTTCCCTGTTCAATGATAACAAATTCGGCTTCCATTCTACGTGTTTATGCTGGATGTATGTAGGTATGTATGGATGCTGGATGATGATAGGCACGCTGGATGATGATAGGCACAATAAATAATTTTTTTCAAAAATTGGCAGGGATGACAATGCCAATGGCCTGACAATGATAATGAGATAATAATTATTGTATTTTTCGGGCAAGTTTTTGGTTCGCTAAAATGTTCTTAGAGAAATTATGATTTCGGGAAATTGTTCATTAGGGCAATTTTAGTTTCGTTGTTTTGCTTTCCATCAAAATTTTCCTTTTATTCGGTCATTTATTCTCGGACAATTTTTTGCATACCCGATACAGCTATGTGCAGTCTAGCTCATTCTAACAATGGTTTTTGGCAAGAAACAGACTCTAAAATCACACTGTAAAAGAGAGCTGCTGCCATGATAGAAGTTTTATTTTGTCCCAAGCAACCGTCACAAAATAATTAGGTAGAATGGTGTGATTTTCTCTCGCATGCATTTTCATAACTTAAAACAAAAGGACCTATCTCAAATTCCATCTTTCTTGTAGTATAACAATTGGTATAACAATAATTGATATAACAAAGAGCCCTATCTCAACATACGTCTCTTCGTCATAACGAAGAATTGTAGTATTTGAGATGGTGCAAATTTTGAAACTAATATAAAATGAAAAAGGTACAATATTGAAATGCGCAAATTCGCTATGAAATATGACCCATTGGGCATGTCATGACGTTGATATCTCAAAATCGCCAAAAATCGAGATACGCCTTTTCGTCATAAACCCGATGATATGATATAAGAACCAATTATTTAAAAATGGCAATAAGTCTAGGGTTGCCAACCGTCCTCTATTTCAGTGTACAGTTCTCTTTTTGATCGTACTGTTTGTTCTCTTTTCTTTGTACGTATTGAAAAAGTCCTTTTTCATTTACTGTTTTTAAACATTCATCGCCACAAATTTAGCTACTCCTACTCGTCGAGAAAAGAAAATTTACGTACAAGAAATATGTGTGGAAGCGATAAACATATTCTAGTTTTTTTTTCAGTTTGCTTACAGTTTATAGAAAATCGTTTGTTAACAAGTTTTCAGTATAAATATATTTAAGAAAGTCAATCAACCTCATAACGTTTACATAATTTTTGGTTAAATTCTTGTCAACATATGAACCAGGTCTATCGTCCTAGGCTGTCGTTCTCTATTTTTTATTTTGAAATTCAGCAACCCTAAATAAGTCAGTTAGTTAAAAACATATCAAGCAGAGAATTCAAACTTCTTGATATTATTGGAAATTATTATTTTAGAAAATTTTAAACTTTCGAATGTATTTGGTACACCATATAAAAAACCATTCATCACTCGGGAATTCCACAGCAATAATATGCAATTGTGCATCATTGACGTCACTGCCGATATCTGTGGATGTGTTTTATGAATGACAGAGACGGGCGGGTCATGTGAACGCAGCTTTAATATCATCGATGATTCGCCTGCTCCAATACACATACAACAAAATGCAAATTACTATTGTATAAGAGCTATAGCAACATATTTTTCTTATTACTAATTTGCTTTATAATGGTGATTTGATATTCGTGACATCAAAAAAGTGACGTGTCCTGTTTTTGTGATACGTGATACTACGATTTCTATGGAAATGAATAGAAAAAAACAAAATGTTTCGGGAAATTGTGTAAATGGATGCAACTAAGAACTATATATTGTTTAGTAGAGTTTGCTAAAAAATTAGTTGGTTTATTAGTGCTACAGGTTCATAACAGACATCTGTTATTTTTAAAGAGATACCGTAACATAGTGAGAAGATAACACAAACTGCAAGTATTATTGATTTGGGATAGATGTAAATCTTATATTATTTATATTCTACTATAATTTGGTACTCGTATCATTCATAAAACATACACTTAAAAATAAGAAAATACTTTTAGAAAAACTTTATGTTAAAATAGTTAATGGCATATTCTGTACTTTGCTATAAACAAAAATCTATTATGCTTTATTTACCGCCACATCATCCAATACTGACATTTTCAACTAACTTTTTAAAATTTTAAATGTTGCGTTGTCTGCCTTTACTTTTCTCTTCGATTTCTTTCATCTATTTTTCTCACTGGCTTTTCTCATTCGTGTTCTTCGCCCATTTCCCTTGCTTCTGGTCTTTCTGTCAGTTTCTTTAAGTTCTGGAAGATATCAGTATTAAAACAGACTTTGTTATTATTACTTTTTGAAAACATTTTTGGCAAGGACAAACAAAATTCAAAAAATGATAAAAGATGTTTATGTTTACTGGTTTTGAAGGTTTGCACGTTAAAATAAAAAATGAAAAATTATGATAATTTCCTACATTTCTTAATTTTTAAAATAAAATATTGTACATACTTGCTTTTCTATGCAATATGTTATAAATAAATTAATACATAAGTTATGTCCCCACGGGCGTAAAGCTCGTGAGATGGAAGATTTCCAACAACGACTACTGCAGAGAATGCGGAGAGGAAGAAGAAAACATAGAACACCTGCTGTGACACTGTCCGGCACTAGAATACCAACGCTTTAAAACTTTAGGGCAAAGTTTTTTGGAGGAACTAGAGGAAGCAGCACAAGCCAACATCAACGACATCGGGAACTTTGCAAAGAGTGCTTTAACGCAAAGAAAGAATGAAAGGAAAGTTTGATACAACAATACAGGGGTATCGCAATGGGCCCAAGGCCTCCGAGTGAGGGATCAAACATGATCCCAAACCTCAGTAACCTAACCTGACCTAACCTAGGTAAAAAGTTTCAATTATTTAAGAATTAGAGAAACATCGAGCAGCAGAAGTATAACGACTGAAGTAAACACTCGGATTAAAAAAGTCTCAAGAATATCAGGGTGTTTACGTGACATAATTTAGAGAAATACAGTACAGAGAGTAAGACGCGAATTTTATAAGACCTGTATAAGAGCCGTACTGACTTACGCTGCTGAAACAAGAGCAGGAACATCAGAAACAAAAAGGAAAAGAGAGCAATGGAAATGGAAATATTACGAACAATTAAAGGTACCACATTGCTGGAGAGAATAC